TCTTTCTCCGAGTCTTCTCTTCTTGTTCTCTCCATCCTTCCCTCCCTTCTTCTCCCTCCCTTCCTCCCTCTCTTTTCTCAGCAATGCAGTAAAGTATATTATGGTACGAAAAATTAAGTTTTTTTTTTTTATTTGACTTAAAAAGTAGAGTTGAGACGCACGCTAAAACGTAATAAATTAGTGTTTATCTTTCCTTCTCTCCGTGCTCTCCCGGTTTATGGATAACGTGCATGGAATATCTAATGGGACATGTGATGATGATTTTACAGAATTGCTGATCGTAAAAATGATAGTGACATTGCTGTTGTTGTTGTTTCCTTGTTGATGGAGATGATAATATTACTACTACTACTCATAATAATAATAATATTGATAATAATATGATATTCCTAACGACGGCGAAGATGTTATAACACTACTAATATTCGTAAACTGATAAACAATACCAATAGCAACGACAGTCAGTTAAAAATGACAAGAATCACAACAACAGCAACTCCATCAACAACAACAACAAAATATAAGCAACGTCACAAACCTTTATTAACCATTATTTTTTATGTTTTGATCTATGAAAAAATCTAAGCTCGTTAACCTCAATATCAAACTGGTAATAAATAATATATTTTGGGGAACATATATTCTGTGCTTCCTTTAATTTTCATATGTTATAATTAATATTTTTTCTCAACATTCTCTAAAGAAATCTATGAGGATGATATATTACTGATAAACACTATAATGATAATTATTATCGTCATTATTATCATTATTAGTAAGTTAATAAGGAAAAGAAGTCATACATATTCAACAAAACATAATAACCAAAAACTCTATGATTTTAGAGTAAATGAAATAAATTTATAAAAAATAAAATAAGATAAAGAATTCTGCTACCCTACATCACCAATGAAATTAATTATAAATCCTATTAGAAGCTTAGAAACAAAAGTTATGCACGCAACTAACATTTCCCTTATGCCGTGAATAAGATGCCATTCTCTAATATTAAGGAATCAGCTGCCATTCCGCCCAACACTTCCCTGACACCATGAATAAGGGATCAGCTGCCATTCCGCCTAACGCCTCCCTAACACCATGAATAAGGGATCAGTTGCCATTCCGCCTAACGCCTCCTTAACGCCATGAATAAGGGATCAGCTGCCATTCCGCCTAACGTTTCCCTAACACCATGAATAAATTACCATTCCGAACTTTCCGAAACCGCTGTAAGTTCGAAGCTTCGAGAGACACGGAGGCGGGAAGGTTCATGTTTTTCTTTCTTTATTTTTTCTGCTTTTATTGGATTTTCTTTTTTAAAT